CAGAAGCTGATCAAATATCGGGTTAAATATCGGTGGGGTGGCCGATGTCCGATATTCAGTTTTAAGGCCGATACAGGCCGATACTGATAGGGGGCTGATTATATCGTGCATCCCTAATATATAGACGAGGCCTTGTATTGCTTGGAAACATGCAAATGGCAACCGATTAGCCTGTAATATCTGAAACCCGTCTATGATTGTTAAGGGTCGGTCGTTAAGGAGGTATTGTTCACCGGCTAGAGCGGGTAGGTATTTTGTTCCTCTGTGATGGAGTGGGGGGTGTGGTGATATCTGGAATGGATCATCTCTAAAACTGAATTGTAAGTTTTTGGAAGCCTAATGCCAAAAATATGATTTCTTTATTGTGTTTCTATAAATTCATCAATACAAGAAAACTGATGTGATGTCACTTTAAGGATGGTCCTACCTGCTCATCCGCCATGATGTGAAAGAATCTCCCAAATACACTTTGGAAATTATATGGAGAGATAAGTGGAGCTAAAACTAGTGACTTAAACTGAAGCTAACTGGATACAAAAGCCCCATTAACCCTAACGTCTGAAAACCAGCTGTGCCGAGCTTGGATCAGTTAACTCAGTTCCTTACAATTAGCACTGTTCCTCGCCTCCTAGTGACGATCTATGGTATTACTGCTCTCTAGAGGTAAACAAGCAAACCGACATGGTGGACTCCATAACCTTTATTAAGTTTGGTTATAATTGTAATATTTCGTTCTTTGAGGAGAGGCGAAGAGACTTTTTTTTCAATTTCTTTATTTAAAAATTTAATATATAAATTGCATAAAAACCTAATTTTATTTCAGTGTTAAATTCTATTTAAAGTAACAGATTATAATTTAAAATGTCTTCGGACCTTTACTGGTTGATGATTTTCTTTATGCGGACCCTGCTGATTTTTAATTGGTTACCCCTCAAGTAGATCAACCAATGGGAGATAAAAAGAAAGACAAAAACAGCAATATAGAGTGCTTTTAAAAACACTTACCCGATAGGTGGAGAGATCAATACGCAAGGAGTTGTGCAGCTGATCTAGAAGCTTAACAAAGCGCTCTTTCTGTATTGTGAGGGAAAAAGAAAAGTCATTAGACTGATTATCTTATTTATAAAAAATATACTGTACCGGACAGCAGCATGGCCTGTTTAAAGGGGTGGGGAGGGGGTTTAAAGAACAAGATTACAGTTACAGCTGTACAAACCCCAAAATTGGACGCAGCGAAACGGTCGGAGGCAGAGACGTTGGTGGATGCAGTGGTGTGGGCGTAGAACGCGTTGATATTAGCTAGCAGGCTGCTCATTACCGCAGGAACCCCAGGACACATGTACTTCGTAGACAAGCAGGCAAAATGTCTGGAAGAAAAACCAGAATCACAGAAAAAGATTCCAGTTTGTGTTTAAGAGAGTAACAGTACATACAGCATGTTCTTTCTCCCAAAGCTCTGTATTCCACCTTTCATCTACTGAAGAGTTTATGGTAAAGATGCTGCAGCTAAAAGTGCTCCCAATAATTCATGTTTCCAAGTAGCAAAAATCTAGCCTCGTGAGACCATCCTGATCTCGCAAGCTTTCAAGATTTCGCTCGCTAGTCAGTCTGGAGACTCTCCGTTGAAGAAAATTTGGAG